TTTAAATGCGATTTGCTAAAACATAAGTCATACTTTTAAAACAAAATTAACAAAAAAAAAAAATAAATTTAGCAGGTAAAACATTGCGAATATTAACAAAAAAGAGTCGTACGCTCAATTTTGGGAGTAACAGTATGATGTTGATATCAGTTGTATTGATTTTTTCCTTAATAAAAATGCGCAATAAAAACATTTATATAAATTAGAATCTGCCAATGCAATTTACAAGTAGCTTATTTGTACACGGGCGTCTCCTAAGAATCAAATGTGAAAAATGTTAGTTCATCACAGACAGAACGCCCTGCACTATAGATTCTGGTATATCCAGGGGCTTGTCGCACAGTTCGCCAGTAGTTTTATCCATCATATAAATTTCGTTTACGACTTGGTCTGGATTGTCAGGTTCCAGTGTAGAGACTAGTACTAAAGATCCGTCAGCTAAATCAATTAATATTTGTTGTATATCACACTCGTCTAAATCACGGTGAGAAACTGACATTGGTGTGGCAGGCATGGCATCCATCAGTGTTAGATCGTCCCCTTCTTCCAACGTATTAACTGTCCCATCATCCAAATCAACAAATGTTTTACTTTCAAGTGTTGTTGGCACTTCATAGTTTGTAATGTCTTCGTTATTTGGTATTATCATTTCATTACTATTATCTGGTGCGCCAGAACTATTAGGTGTTATGTAAGTGATAAATTCTTCGATTTGGTCTAACCGGCTTTCTACGTCTAAAAATTCCTCTGCATCTATTTTGGGAATGCGGGAATTTTGGAAGTTGATTTCATAGTTGGCGAAGTGCTCAGTTTTGACTACATAGTTTGTTGGTTGTGCTGTCTCAAGTTTTACAGGCCTGATTTCCGTTGAAATAGTTGGTACCAAAATTGTGGTGGGCTTCACAGGCTCTGCTGGTGGAACAACTTCAGCTTTATCGTGTAATACATTTTGATTGGGTAGCAATTTTTGTTTTTTTAAATGTATAGCTTTGGGATCATCGTTAACAGGATTCTCTAGTTGGTGTGGTGCGACTTTAGGCCTCTTAGCGCTTTCAGTTTTTTTCTTTTCGCCACGACGACTCAATTTGCGTTTAACAACATTTTCATTCTCATACACATCATCGCCGTTTTTGAGAGAACGTGCTGCTGTACTGCCGCTGATTTTCACCTGCAAATTGAATAAATTAAAACTATTATTTTCGTGTGAAGTTGTGTAGTGTAAGAAAGTAAATACACAATTGTATTACTGCTTAAAAGTAATTATTGCAAAATGTTACACCAAATTTTGGAAACTTAACCTTTTTTATTGCCTTAGCCTCTTTTGCATGTATTTCTTTCCAACGCTGTAAAGCTTCTTCTCTCTCGCGTTCTTCAGTCTCTAATTGCGCTTTCAAATCATCGATATTAAAAAGTTTTGGATAAAGCAGTGCCTTGTTTATCAAAGCCAAATTGCTACGTTCTTCTTTCTTAAATTTAAGTTTTAAGTCACGCCGCGTACGTTTCGGAAAGAGTTGGCACATCAATGAGAAGTCTGTTCCTACAGTTTGTAAGCACCGGTAAAACTTTATTGTCTCTTCAGGTGGCCATTCCTTTGTACGTTTTTGACGCTTATAAAAGCCATTCATGCCAGTGTTTTCATCAAGAAATATTAACGATGAATTAGCCAGCACTTTTCGCGCCTCTTGCTCCGCAGTGGTTTCAATTTCCAAAGTTTTCTCATCGAGTATCAAGTCCCCATTCGCATTTAATTTCAATTGTGGGACTGGCATTGCATTTTTTGAACCCTCAGTTAATTCTACCTTGGAATCTACTGCTGTATGCTTTACATCGTTTTCATCTATTGTGGACTCCTTTTTAATGGTGGACACTGCTGTGCGCTTCTCCATTGGGTTGGTTACTGGGTTGTAATAGATTAAATCAAACATTTTTAAAGAAGATTTGTCGAGGTGGCCATTAACCATGCGCCAAGAAAAATCTCGTCGAGAATAGGGGCGATTGGTGTGCTCATCATTTTTACGAAGCTTTGATTGCGTAACAAATGAATCTGAAAATGCGGAACAATTTGACTCCGTACGTATTCGGCTCAATCCCATTGCAGGCGTGAATTTATGCGGTGTAAAGTGATGTTGTCCAGTACTGGAACTTGTGGTTAGCGAGGATTGAATCATAGATGCCGAGTAGTGACGCTCCCTTCGATGTGTAAGGGGATTTATTTTTTGCACGGTTACTATTTCAGCTGTATCACCCTCTATAGTTGGTCCTGGATCTTTCGATTTAATATCTAGAGTTGCTGGATTATAAAAACGTATATTTTATATACATATACATATCTACATATGTATATACTTAGAGAAAAAATAATATACTGACTTGGAGTGTCTTCCGATGATACTTGCACAGGATTTGCTGTGTTGGCATAACTATTTCGTCTCTGAAACAAAGGCACGGGGCGAATTCGTTGACGCCCTTGTTGCTTTAGGGGTGATGCAGACTTTTCTGGAACAGATTTTTGCATGTCTAATTGCAATATACTCTCCTCCATATCATTATAAAAGACATCGTCTGCGGGGACATTTGGAGTTATTTGGCTATTACTACGCGTATATTCAATACGGGCGGGACATTTAAACGAGGTGTCATATGATGATTGGTTTGATATGATCTTATTTGAAATATTTTTATTACTTTTCTCCAAACTTTTGTTGATATCTTCTATGGTTTCTTTAGCAGCATTATCAGTGATAACCTGATTAGGTTTATTTTTGAGAGCAGATATACTGGGGGACAGGTCACTGTTTTCTTTATTCGCAACAGTGGGATTCTTCGGTTCACATATATGTACCATTTGTTTGGAATCTTTAGCAAGCTCTTCATTTTTATCCTCTAAACTAACACCGTTTACAGGCTTTGTTGCTTGCTCTGATTTCACATCTCGCGATTTCCTCTTTGTTGTCAAAAGCGCAGCGGCTTTTATACGCGGCCGGCGCATAGCCATGTTGCTCTTTGTATTGTATATTTATATAACCATAAAAGTATATACCCAATTTAAGGCTGCTTATTTTTTGGCCCGATTGCGCAGTCAACACTAGTGCCTAGGAGTGAATTGTAAAACACGTTCTTTTAAGTCGCTAACAATTTCAAAAATAATTTAAAACCTCCGCCGCTCCTTTTTATCGGGTAACGAGACTTCAGGACGACCTCTTTTTTTTAATAATTTCAGGTTTTTAAATCCCATTGCAAGCCAATAGAGAAATGCGATAAAATTAGTCAAATTTCACCGATATATTTATTAATTGAATGAGGTTGGTAAATTTGCCAACAATGCAGAAAATACTTGAGAAAAAACAACAGGGTGAAGCATGTAATTCACGTTTTGTTTATTGGAGTGTTTCTGTATTTTCTTCCACAGTTGATCCTTTTGCCACCCAACCGACGTTAGCACCTCATTAGTTAAGCTGAAATTAGTCGAGAACGCAGAACGTATACTTAAACGCAGTCTGTATACGCAGAATTTTGTCGATTACTGGAGCCCTCAGTGTTGCTTACTACACTGTTGCCACTCTTCACTGCCTTTTCATAAACTTACCCTTTCAACCACAATTTTTCGTGCTATAATAGATTGTAACTAAATATAAACTACTTAGTTTTCAACAAAAACCTTATTTAATAGTAAATTTCAAATATTTTAAACATATTTCGAATAGGAACTTATAACTTTTTTACCATTTGCAAAACTGACGAAGTGGCAACCATCTAAAGAAGGAGAAATCAGCTGACACGGAAAAATCTAAATTCCGCAGATTTCTGCGCTACGGGCTACAACTACAGAAAAATTCTGCGGTGTTGAGTTTTCATTTACATGGCGCTTTGGTAAGACAGATCGTGTCAGCTGACTCGGGTTTACGTACCGGTAGGTTTACGTTCTTGACTAATTTCAGCTTAAAGCTGAAATTAGTCGAGAACGCAGAACGTATACTTAAACGCAGTCTGAATACGCAGAATTTTGTCGATTCCTGGAGTCCTCAGTATTGTTAGATTTGTTTATATAATGCAATTTTTATTAAGTAAACTTCAAGTCGAAATACATTACAGCCAAGCATACAACGATCGTAAAAAGGTTATGCAGTTCTAGCTCTAACCACTTAAAAAAAAAACTTTGTACTCGGGATCAATCGTGTGACATATATACATATGTACTAACATACAACCGCGATCGACAAGCCAATCAGCGACTACCAGCGCATCAAAAAGCTCGCACGAAGAGTATGCACAAAGCGTGGACAACGATGACAAGTGCACTCTCGTCACATATGTTTATTGGGGTTGCTGTGCAGTTGAAGCCTATGAGTTGCATTTATCTTTAACAAGTATTGCTTACTACACTGTTGCCACTCATCAATGCCATTTCATAAACTTACCCTTTCAACTACAATTATCGTGCTATAATAGATTTTAGCTAAATATAAACTACTTAGTTCTCAACAAAAACTTTATTCAATAGTAAATTTCAAATATTTTGAACATATT